TCACTGATTTTAAGGCCAGCCTAGGCTACATAGTTCAAGGCCAGTCAGAACTATGCAGGGAGACCCTCTCTCTCAAAACAAAACAAAACAAAACACACTAAATACAAGTTCAGTGGTAGAGATCTTATAAAGTGGAATTTTATTTCTCTGTAATACACCAGGATTTTTATGTGCGAGGTCTCATAGAGGATGCCCCCACTTTGAGGCCATCGTGTAGCATATTGCTCTGCAGTCAGGTCTGCTCCCTGGCACTGCGATGCTAGTGCTGTGTCACCAGGAGTAAATATGAGTGTGGCCACCTGTGTTTCACATGACCCAGGAGGAGGCTGGTCCAGGACGCAGCTTTGAGCATCTGCCAGCTGCCTGTTACCACTCCCCCAACGGTACTGGCAGGAAGAAAGGCTGTGGCTGTCCATGCTGGGACCTGGGTGTGCTGAGGTCTTACTGTCCCTGCCCCAGCACCTAGCAGCCGGGGCTGCAGACTATCAGGCTGAGAGTCTGGAAGTTTCTCTGGAGCCAGATTGGGCAGGGGTGCTGTGGTGTCACCTATGGTGACTTCCTGCTCCAGGCAGGTCTCACTGGCTCCTGGAGGGCATGGAAAGACCAGTGGCCCCCTGCCTCAGTGCTGAGGAGCATGTGGGTCAGGGCAAGGGAGGGCACCTGGCCTGCCTCGAGGTGCCCAGGAAAGCAGGCAGGAACTTGGGGATAGCGCTGGGGGGGGGCATGGGAGGACGAGGGTGACCTCCATCCATACTGAAATTCCAGGACTCACGGGGGCAGCTAATTCAGCACGCAGCCAGAAGACCCACCCGAGGCAAGGGCTGGTTACATCCGACCTTTCCCCAAGCCCAGAGGGCCTCAGTGGAAAGGCAGAGGAAGTGACAGCAGGTGAGTCCACTCATGTCACAGGCCCTTCTGGCAGTGACGGGGAGATGGGCCGTGGGGCTGCATCCAAAGAGCTGAGCATGACCAGTCTGTCTGTGATGCAGTGAGAGCAGAGGGATTCAGCAGAGCACAGCTGAGGAGACCAGGCAGATGTCTGGCCCGTCTGCTCAAGGCTCCAGGGAAGCTGTGTCCACACTGCGCAGAGCTGCAGCTGGACCCGGCCTCAGTACAGCTTGCTTCCCAGGGCTCCGAGCCAGGTGCTGTATGTGTGTGTGGAGTCCAGAAACATCGGGAACATTTTCTCTGCAAAGGATGTAGTTTGTTGTCATCTTCAGTGCTCTGGACCTGAACAGTTTTTGAAAAGTGATTTATGATTAATTTCTGTGTGTGACACCCAGGTTTGAACCCAGGGTAAGCACATGCCCCATCCTCATGATTGTGGCTTTAGAAACCTCTGGAAGGCCAGTGTGGATGAGTCAGTATCTCATCATCTTGGTATCCCCTTAGAAAAATGAATGTCTTGTGCATTTTGATTCATAAATTGTCAAACTGGTATATATGTATATATAATATATATTTGGGGGGAGTCTTCGTAGACCAGGAGACAGGGACTCCCAGTCTCCTTGAACTCACTGTGTAGCCCAGCCTGGCTTTGCACTCAGTGATCCTCCTGCCTCAGCCTCCTGAATGCTGGGATTTATGGGTATTCACAACCACTCCCAGCTGAGTTGAAAGATACTTGAAACATTCTGCTAGGAAATGTTTTAGATTTCAGGAAGGCTCTTCTTTGGAAATGTTTATTTTTATTTTGTTTTGGTTTTGGTCGTTTGGGTTTTTGAGTCAGGGTTGTTGTGTAGTTCAGGCTCACCTTAAACACAGCGATCCTCCTGCCTCAGCCTCCAAAGTGCTGGATTGGCAGGAGGATCGCTGTGAGTTCGAGACCAGCTTGGGCTACATAGTTGAGTTCCAGGTCAGTCTCAACTACATAGTGAGACCCTGTCTCAAAAAAAACAAAACCAAACAAACAAACAGGCATGAGCCATTGTGACCATCTTGAAAATGTGGTTTACTATCAGAACTTGTTTCTGAGTAAGAGTATTGAGTGACTGTGTGTCTGACACAGCCTAATGGCTCAGAGACATCCTGTGGGCTGTTCACATCTAAGGGCTTATCTTCTGGCAGGGAGCGATGGGCCTGCCTGGGGAGCTCAGCTCAGTTTTAGTCCTCTGCGGAGCTGCAGTGTTGGTGGCAGTGCTGCCCAGCTCTGTTGTCCTGTGGCGCCCCCTGTCTTTGAGATAAGGCACCTTGCAGCCCGGTTCGCCATGCGATGTGCCTGGGAAACCTGGCCTCTTCCCCACCACCTCCTTCCACCCTGGTTGTCCTGTACATCATGGTGACCAGGGAATTAGTGACCATGACCTGCCGCCCACAGAGAGGTTACTTGCTGTTAGAAAGGCAGCTTTGTTGGTCAGTTCCTGCTGGTCATGGTCTGATCGCTGGCACAGGATTGGATGGAGTGCAGCAGACTTCCTGTCAGAGGCTTTGAAAGTGTTACCTTGCTGATGAAAGAGTTACCCAGACCGCCCCCCCCCGGAATTGATACTGTGTATCCCCATGTCTCAGTGACAGGGATCAAATCCAGGTCCGCACAGAATACATCCCAGCCTTTTTCTGTTTTCTTTATTTTCTTACACAATCTCACTAAGTTTCCCAGGCTGGGCTCAAACATGCCATCCTCCTGCCTCAGCCTCCTGGGGTGCTGGGGTCACAGGTGTGTACTCCACAACCCCCTCGACGTTATATTTTTTTAGCAGCTTGTTCGTATTCTAATAATTTATTGTATGTGAATAGACATGGGCTAGAAAGTTCTTTCTAACCTCCTTTTTAAAACACTCCCCATTATGTCCTGTGTAGGGAACAGGGAAAGGGGAAGTTACTACAACCTCTACTTCAGGTCCTAGCATCCTGCGAGCCATGACAGCACAAGGCGAATTAATGTATAGACACAAATGAGATTTATAGAAGAAGGTGAGCTTTGGCCTGATCCATGCTGCTCTGGGTGGCAAAGACACCAGATCCCAGACCCCAAGCCCCACCTTTATTGAGAACATCAGAAACAAAAATAGCAGCTGACTCAGGGCCCAAGATGATCCTAGAACAACGAGGAACTGTGCAGGTGAAGATTCGATTCCTCCCAGGTGTCCTGCCCTGGAGTGTCACAGCGTCCCTGCCCCATTGCGGTGATGGAAGGCGAAAACAGAAACAGTTATCTCTCGACATGTCGACAGGAAAACTAGGCCCTAATCATGATTTAATGATGAAATGATTTTTCCTCAAAATCACGTGGAATTGTTATGTGCATTCTGCTGCTTAATGCAGATCATGCCAACCAGTGTTAGGTGAGGCTCCCTGTTCTTGATTACAGTTTTCCTGTTGGAGTTTAAAAGACATAGGTGTCAGCAGTTTCCCCTTCTTTGAGTGTTAAATCGGCTAAGCAGTGTATAACCCTGTATGCAGCAGCTGCTGTCCTTCTGTAACACTGCAAAGGCAGGACCCTTGGCCAGTGGGAATACCCAGGCTGTCAGCATCTGGATTTGGGTTTCGTATTGAATGCTGTCACTTTGAGATTTTCTAAAAGCACAGATAGCCCTCCTTTATCGACATGCTGTACCCAATGAACAACTGTTCAGGCTCATGGCCGAGGTGTGCTGCTCAGATTTCCTACCCATCTTTTTTTGTTTTGTTTTTGTACAGTTCTTCACACCTCGTTTATAGAGTGAGCCTTGGTATCTTCTTCAGTTCAGTACCCTGTTTGCACTGGACTGCAATTTTGGCTGATTGTTCTGTACAGCACAGTCCGGCAGTTTTTTGTTACACTTCACAGCACTGCATGTAAGAGTCAGTGAACAAAAGCAGAGTTGTCAGGCTGGTGCATTCTTGGACCAGTTCTTTGTTCTGAGTCTATAATGTACGTACTAATACAGTTGCTCATTCGGTGACCGGTACATTTAAGGACTGAGTCGCAGGACTGAAATGCGGTACTTAAAAGAGGAAACATCTGTCTGTAACCTCGGTGAGACCTTCCAGTTCTAATTTTAATCCTCGAATTGCTTTCGTGATTGATGGGTTTTGTCTAACAGTTCAAAAACACTGTCTAGTAGATAAACAGCTCAATTTGGGGTAAGTGATGATCTTAAAGCAGATTTGCCCATTCTCACTCCACCCCCTCGGCACACAGACGCCTTGTTGTACACTGGGATTGGCAGCGGCCCCTGCCTCCGCAGTGACTGCCACAGAGCCGGGTGCCGGTCACCGAGCAGCCATTCGGTGGCTGGCATTTGAGGTGCTGTCACAGAGCAGCTCGCTTCCAGGCCCAGCTGTGCTGCCACTGCTCGCTGTGAGAAACTCCAGCCTCTTTAGATTCCGCATGGAGGTTGTCATTCACTTGTTACGTCAGGCTTTGCTTCCAGGTTTCCCACACTGACACCCAGTGGCGTGGCAGGCTAGAAATAAGTGTTCCGCAGTGCCAGTCTGCTGCTTCCTGCTTTTCCCTTTCCAGGCTGCTGATCCCGGTCATGCTGACTGAACTCCCGTGTGTGCCAGGCACTGTACTCTCTCTAAGTACGGGGATAGACGGATGGAGCCACAGCCCTCCCGAGGCTCCGATCTGGTGTGAGGTGGCTGGCGGTCGGTCAGGAGACGCATTTACGCCCCTAGACACCCTCCTCCAGGAGGTCCTGATCCAGGATGCAGAGACCAGACAGACCCAGGGGTCCCGACCTCTAGGACCCACCTCGCTGTGGCGCAGCGTTTTCCATCGTGTCCCTGGTGATGTGGGCGGTGACATTAGATGGTGCTTGGCGTAGTTCCTTATAACTAACTGTCGTGCGTGATTTCCTGGATGGTGTCATTGAGAGAAAACAGAAGTAGATTTTTTAGGTTAAATAAGTGAATCATCTGGAAGAAAAATGTTTAGTAAGATTGTACAGGCCAGGGATCAAACTCAGCAGTGCCTGCCTTGCAAGCACAAGGTCCTGAGTTTGATCCCCGGTACCAGAAAGAAAAGGTTGTAGCTTTGCCTGTCTGTTCATTGTGAAGAGCAGTGAGACGGCACCATGGAGGCAGAGATGGGTGACTGGTGCCGTTCTGAGGAAACAGTAAGCTTTGTCTTGGGTGCAGCACCACTTGGACCTTAGTAAAGGTGAGCATGGGGTTCCCAGGCAGCAGCATTACCTGAGTTTGGTTAGGGCGCGCAAAGGTGCCTTTCTGGAACATGCGTTGCAGCACGACAGGGAGATGGGAAATGGCAGGGCATTCCAATGGGAAGAGACAGCTTTATGCACACACAGGACAGCGTGACACTGCCACACGGGGGGTGACACGGTGCTCTCTAGCTCCAGAATTTCAACCCCCCCCCTTTTTATTACACCTGCCTGAGTGTGGGCTGAGCTTTCCTCAGTGAACCTGCGTCCCTGTCTGCTCTCTGCCCTCTCTTTGGATGTTGCTCTGCATCCTGACCCAGGTGTCCTGCCTTGCAGGTGTGGGGGCACGGTCGGTGCCATCTTCACATGTCCGCTGGAGGTCATCAAGACCAGGCTTCAGTCCTCGCGGCTGGCTCTGCGTACCTTCTATTACCCGCAAGTTCACCTGGGGACCATCAGTGGGGCCGGCGTGATGAGACCAGCCTCCGTGACACCTGGACTCCTGCAGGTTCTCAGGTGAGTTCTGCCCCGCCCTGCTCACACAGCCACCACCTCCCCAGCCCTGCACATGGGGCTCCCTGAGGAGCAAGGTTTCCTTCCCAGGGCCCTGGCTGGGCAGGGTACGCCTGGCCAACCTCCAGGGGCAGCACAGTGAGCTGAACACAGAGCAGACCCAGAACCTGTGTTGCAGTTCTTGCTCAGACCTTTGAGGGCTAAAAAGAGAGTAAGGAGTGGTAGAGTACAGATTTTTAAATTGCATAAGGCAAGGGTCATGACAGCTTTAAGTAATATGGAAATGGAATGTGTTTCTACTGTTTATTTGAATATAATTTTAAATTTATGGGAAATTTTTCTGCTTTATACTTAGGCTGCCTGCCCATTTATTTTTTTCACTTCAGGGAAAATATCTCATTTTGCTTACAAAGTAGCTCAGTATCCCTAAGTTGAGGTTAGCTTATCAATCTTTAAGGTTAAAGCAAAATAAAAATCTTCAGAGGAGCATCTGGGCACAGTAGCACATCCCTGTAATTACAGCAGTGGGGAGGATCAGGCAGGAGGAGAGTCCAGTCTGAGCCCCGTCCAGGCAAGTTAGTGAGATCCCATCTCAGAAGTGAGGAGCTGGGCTGGTGGTGTAGGCCTGTGATCCCAGCACTTGGGAGGCTGAGGCCACATGGTGGCTATGAGTTCCAGGTCAATCTGAATGGCATAGTGAGACCGCCTCAAAAAACAAACAAACATAAATAAATAATTATTTATTTATCATTGAGTTTATTGGTACTTTTTAGGTAATAAGTTTTTTAAGGTAAGGGAAAAAAGGGCCAGGGATTTAGTACAGTGGTGCCACCCCTGCCTTGCAAATGCAGGGTCCCAAGTTCGATCCCCGGTACCAAAAAATAAGGGATAAAAAGGGGTAGGGAGGTAGCTCAGTGGTGGAGCACCCCTGAGTTCCGTCCCGAGTACTGCCTCGGAATTTCAGAATTCAGAAGGGCACTGGGCAGTCTCAGATTTTTAGCTTAGGACCTACTTCAAAAAGGATGCTTAGGAGTTGAATTCAACTGAGCACGGTGCTTAGACTGAAACGTTCCCTTGGACAGATGTGTTCAGGAAAGATGCGGTTTCCCTGGGAAGATGCAGCTGAGGACCTTGGGGCCGGAAGTAGTGAGTGAGAGGCCCTGTCCTCGGGACCACGCACTTGGTGCTGGCGCAGGGAGGGGGCTGAGCGCCTGGTTACTTCCAGGCACGTTTTCTGTGTGAGCACACGCACCGTGGGTGTGCACACCAAAGGCATCAGGCCACACTTAGCTCAGCGAGCAGCATGCCGGGCACCAGGCTCCACAGGAGAAGTGAAGTTCACTTGGGAGAGGGAGGCCTTCTGGAGAGTCCCAGGGACTCAGTGTTTAAGTTAAATACTGAGAGGGTGGTGCAGGGGAGACCCAGGATCAGGAGGGCAGGGAGAGACAGGGGAAATGTACAGGCCTAGCACTGAAGGCAGTCCTCTTGCCTCAGCCTCCCGAGTGCTGGGATTACAGGTGTGAGCCGCTAGGCCAGGTTTCAAAAGATCGATTGCATACAGTACTGTGTATTACTCAGGTTTTTCACAACACCCTCAACAGATCAGCCCTGAGGCCTGCTGTTAGCCCTGCTCAGAATAGAAGAAAAGAGCGTATGAAAGTCATGTTGGATGCATAGCTGACTGACTTGGAGCAGCCAGGAGTAAAATAAAACAAAACAAGAAAACACCACCAAAAGAGCCCTGGACCATATGCTGAGCTGCCTCATCTTTCCATGTTGGCCATGGAGTCGCGAGGCCGCCAACTCTGAGACACGAGGATCGGGTCCCGGACCAGCGTGTCAGCTGCTGCTCCTCGGTCAGCTGAGGGAGGGTCCCAGGCTCAGAGCTCCCGCTCCTTAATGACAGCCGCTCCCCAGTGATGGCACTCGGTCTGGTAGCTATACACACCTGCGTGTAGTGGCTTCTCCTGCTCACCCATGTGACAGCAGAGCCACTCACCAGGACAAAGCAAAGTCCTAGCCGTGCTGCTGCTGTCATTCTGGCTCAGCTGGAGTAGCTGGTAGCCGTGCAGCCCCAGGGCCTTGGGGGCTGCCTCGGTTTTCCTCCCAGCCCCACAGCAGATCGAGGACTCCGCCCTCAGAGTCCATGCAGATGCTAGCCCTACGTCTGTCTCCTTGCTGCTGTCCTATGGAAGTGGCCCAGTGCCCTGTGTCCCTACGCCAGGCTCCTCATGCTCTGCCTGAGACTCAGCTCTCGCAGTCTCTGTCCCCATGGCCCGCTGGGAGCTGTACCTTCGGCTCTGTCCCCTCTCTTACCCCCCATGCACCTTGCTCCTTAAAAGGCCAGAGTGTTTTCCGACCTGTGCAGGCCCTTCTACTGCACACAATCTGGTGGCTTTGTCACCTTCTCAGAAAGGCCCAGTGGCATCCCTGCATTAAACTGGACCCCTCTCCCATGCCTCCCTTCTACTGAACTCCCTCAGCACTTGGCTCTGGCCAGGCAGCAGGATGCTTTACTCTTCTCTGTGTTACCCCAGCCTCCTTGGAGGGGGCTCTTGTCTGGGCTGACCACTGAGGTGGTCCAACAGCTCAGATGTCACCGTGGCACAGTGTCTGAACAGATTTGGGCAGGGCATAGGAAGGGACACACACACACACACGTAAATAAGTATTGGCTGCTGTCCCCATAGGAGGTGCTTTCTGTGCTTTTTTTGCGGGGGAGGGGTGCATGACACAGGGTCTCGCTGTGTAGTTCAGGCTGCCTTTGAACTCAACGGATAGCCCAGGCTGGCCTCACTCACAGTGATCCTCCTGTGTTTCAGCCTCTTGAGTGCTGGTGTCACAGGTGTGCACTACCACACCTGGCTTTCTGTGCTTTGAAAACGGGAGGTGGTGGCCCAGTTTCTTGGTGGCACAGCAGAAAAGGAGTGTTGTGTTACCTAGTTCTCGGGTAGAAAGCACCCTAGCCTTCATGGACGGCATGTGCCACTTCCTGTGGCCAAGCTCTGAAAACAGAGTCCACTCCTCACCTGGCCTGTGGAGCAGGCTGAAGAGCCAGGCCTTCTCTCCACCGCAGAACCCGTCATGGCTTCATCCACTGTTGTATGGTAAAAGCCTGGAGCCTGGCTGGTGGCACACACCTGTAATTCCCAGTGCTCCGGAGGCTGAGACAGGAGGATCAGTGCCAGTTCAAGGCCAGCCTGGGCCACACAGGGAGTAACTCCAGCCTGAACTATATAGAGAGACCCTGTCTCTAAATAAAAGCCCAGTCATCTGTCTAAACCTCAGCTGCTTGTTACTAGATTACTCTTCCAGGAAGCACTGCTTTAAGAGATTTGTCAGACAGAATTTGTTTATAGGAAATGTACTTTCAAAATGCAGATCATTGCGTGCCAGTGTCTCAGACTAACTGGTCAGAGAAGAAATATTCTCCATTGTCCTTTTAATATTGTGAAGGAAAAAGAAGAAAAAGCAAGATACTAAATTCAGGTTCTCGCTATTGAAATTACAAGAGTAGTAATGTTTGTTTTGGGTATCTGCTTTTAAAGAAGCCTTTCGGTTTAATTCTTTTCCACAGAGCTCAGCGGCCTAACGTTGGTGTTTGCTTTTCTGAGCTCTCTCTCATCTGAGCAGTCCCACCAGTGTCTGGGCGGGCTGCTTGCTGGGCTGCACCTGACTGGTGCTGGGAGCCCTGGCCCCTGCGCCATCCCCAGGCCGAGGGTACCACGGACAGCCAGCGAGGTCAGGGTCTGGTTACACAACACACAGGCTTCCTGTCCTCACTGTGGTGACAGTCCCTCCTCAGTTGGCGGAGTCACCTGAGGACACACAGCAGCTCTGGTCCTAGGGACCGTGGGTGACATCTCGGCTTGAAGATTGTCAGCCAGAGTTAGTTGGCCCTGGAAATGTTTGAGACCTGTGCCACAAGGTGCATTCTCTTCAGGTTGTAGAGAGAAAGCGCTTGTCCAGAGCGCTTGGCCTTTTGGAAACACTGCTCTGAGAAGGGCGGCAAAAGTATTCTGACTTGGAAATACCCCGTTCTCGTGCCTCTGTCGAGAGCCAGATGGCGAACTTCGGCCAGTGTGAATACTCACGGCAGCTTAGGAATTTCATTTTGAAGTTCTTTGTTTATGGAATCCCAAGAATTGTGTTTACCCTAACTCCTGCTTTTTATAAACCTCATGGGTTTAAATTATTACCCTAGTGTTTTTATGATCGGTAGTAAGATTTTTAAAAAAGAACTTTTGTTTTGTTCATTTTGAGACAAGGTCTTGCTAAGTTGTCCAAGCTGGGCTCAGACTTGGGATCCTTGTGCCTCAGCCTTCTACGGTGCTGGCTGGGATTACCGGTGTGTGCCACCATGCCCAGTTAAGAAATTTCATATCATTATACTGTACTACTTTCTAAGTATCCCACAGTCTATTTTCCAATTGTGTCACGGATCTGCTAAAAGCAATTGATTTAGTCCGGGCTACTCAGGAGGCTGAGGCAGGATGATCACTTGAGCCCAGAAGTTCTGGGCTCACTTGGATGTCATAGGAGACCTCAACTCTTATGTGAGGGGAAAAAAAGCATATAGTTCACTTGTTTTTAGTATGTTCACGGAGTTTTGCACAACTGTGATGTACCACAATTTAATTTAATTTAATTTAATTTTAGAACATTTTGATCCCCACTAAAAGAAACCCTTTTACCTGTGTGCAGTCATTCCCAGCCCTGGCCCCCAGTCCAGGACAGCTACCCATTAATCTGCTTCTCATCTCTATAGATTTGTCTCTTTGCGTTTCATTAGCCTGATTTTCTTCAGGTTCCTCCTTATACCGTGTGAGTGTGTCAGTACGTCCTCCTGTTTATTGTTGAGTAATGTTCCATTGTATGGTTGCTTTAAACTCACTGCATTGACCTTCCCCAAATGCAGTGGAGAAAATGAAACATCTGTTGACCTTGTGGAGAGACAGCTCTCTCGCATGCTTGGCCAGCAGGTCTGTTGGCCACACACTTGGAGTGTCTTGTACTCACTCAAAACTGCTTGTGGCCAAGTGGCATGGCACATGCCTATAATCTCAACACTCAGGAGCCTGAAGTGGGAGGATTACCATGAGTTTGAGGCCAGCCTGAGCTGCAGTGAGTTCAGTGCAGTGCGCCTGCACTGCAAAGTGAGAGACCCTGTCTCAGAAAATAAAACCAAACAAAATTTAAAAAGTGCCTGGGTTTATGCCTGCAAGTAAGCAACAGATCTTAGAAAAGACTGTTCCTAATATTTTTAGAGAGTTTTGGATTTTGGGTTTGTTTTTTTGTTTTGTTTTTGAGTCAGGGTCTCACTATGTAGTTGAGTCTGACCTGGAACTCACTATGTATCCCAGGCTGGCCTCGAACTCACAGCGATCCTCCTGCCTCAGCCTCCTGAGTACTGGGATTACAGGTGTGTGCCACCACCCCCAGCTAGAGTAATTTTTAACCTAAATGGAATGGAGGCCTAGCTTACCACTTTTTAAAATTAAAATAGCTTTATTGAGATTCCCATGCTGTAAAATTCATTATATTAAAGTATAGAATTTGTGGTTTTTTTTATCGTATTCAGAGTTAGTGATCATCACCACTAATTCCAGCACATTTTCATAGACCCCCAAAACAAATATGTATCCATCAGTAATTGTCCCAACATTCTCCCTCCAGTCCTTGGCAACTACTTACCTAGCTCCTGTTTCTGTGGATAAGTGTTCTCTTCTTTCTGGTGCTGTTGTACATGGAACTGGTTTTTATTTGTTTGGATATTTTTATTTCCCCAGAAAGTCTTACTTTGTTGCTTAGGCTGGCCTTGAACTAGGCTCAAGGCATCCTCCTGCCTCAATCTCCCAAATAGCTGAGGTTAAAAACATGTGCCCCACATGGAATTATTTTTTCAATTCCATTTTCAGATTGGTTATTGGTACTGTATAGAAATACCCTTTATTTTATTTATTGATCTTATTTCCTCTAACATTGCAGGCTTTATTATAGTAGTTTCTAATAAATTCCTCTGTATTTCAACATAAGATCATTCTATCTGTGAATGGAGTTTTCCTTTCTCTTTTCTAATCCAGATCCTTTTTCTTGTCTAATTCCTGGCCTGCTACTTCTTAGGAAAGCTCTTAAAGGTACCAATATATTCTACATGTCAACGCTTGAAATATGTTGCGAACATTCTGAAATGAGGAGAAAGGAAGCTAAGATTCAGAGTTGCTCGTTAGGGCCCCCGGAGTGTGGAAGGCTGCACAGTGCTCTGAGGAAGGGGAGAGCACTGGCAGTGAGGAAGGTAACAGGACCCCGCACGCCATGGACGGAACAGGAACTGCACCCCTCCTGCATCTAAACTTTCTGCTTGGTTTTGGAAACTTTTTCTCCATGGGAAAAGTGGAAGCGCTAGAGCGTTAACAGGATTCACTTAACTATTAGCTTTGTAGAGGCACCGTCAACATAAAGACCTTTTAGGGGCTGGGGTCATAGCCAGTGGGGCCACACCTGCCCTGGCAAGCACAGGTCCTGAGTTTGATCCCTGGTACGGGGGGGGGGGCCGCAAAACAAAAGCCATAAACAAAACCTTTAATCTGACCCCCAGAGAGCCACAGTAAAGGTTGAACAGGAATTAGATGTGATCATTTGTGAGCTGGATCAGTTTATAATCCTGTCAGAAGGAAGATACTGGTTACCAAATAAGGAAAAATCCTCAGTAGGAAATGCAGGTTGAATTAGAAATCCTAGTAAAGCAATGTAAATTTAATTGACTGCCAAGGGAAACTGAGCTATTGGAAAGAATAAATTTAACCAGCCTGAAGAGCCTCTGTGTTTGAGTGGGGAACTTTCTGTACAACCATTTTAGGATTTTTTGGGTTGATTTAATCAAAAATATTTTAAGCTTTTTTGTTGTTTTTTGAGACAGGGTCTCACTGTGTAGTTGAGACTGATCTGGAACTCACTGTGTATACCCCAGGCTGGTTTCGAACTCACAGCGATCCTCCTGCCTCAGCCTCCCGAGTGCTGGGATTACAGGCATGCACCACCACGCCCGGCCCATTTTAAACTTTTTTAAAAGTGTGCAAATGAAGTTATGTAGCAAGTAGAACTCTTGTGTGTTGCTGGTAGAAATGTCTGATGGTCAAAACACCTGTGGAAAACAGTACGGCAGCTTTGACCGTGTGACCAAGCAGTCCTGCTCTCAGCATGTACCTCAGAGAATGAAAAGCAGGGACTGAAACAGACTCTGTGTTTGTGCACCCAAGTTCGTAGCAGTGCAGCTCACTATAGCTGCTGGTGGATGAGTAGATAAAGGAAGTGGCCATTAAGGAGGGTAGGTGGATGACAGCAGAATATCATTCTGCCTTTAAAAACAAGGGGATTCTGACACATGAGTTTTGCACCACGCCAGTCCTGGGAGGACAGGATCAGCTCCACCGATACCAGGTATCTAGAATAGGCAAATGCACAGACAGGCTCTCACAGGCGCTGCCGCAGGCTGGGGGGCAGCAGGGGCGGGAGTGTTTTGTGGGACACTTTGTGCGGAATTGTGAGTCAGAGGTAGGTGGTGGTACCAGTTACACAACAGCATTGGTGTGCCGCAGACCCCTGAGCTGTACCCTAAAAATGGTTAAAATGAGCCTGGCACAATGGTGCACACCTGCGATTCCTACACTCAGGAGGCTGAGGCAAGAGGATTGCAACTTCAAGGCCAACCTGATCTGTCCTTAAAAAAAAAAAAAAAGGTTAAAATGCTAAACTTTAGGCTGTGTAAAAAGAGAAAAATGAGTCACAGTGTTAACTTTGAGTTTGAGATACCATGCTTTGTCTTTATTTTTTTAATTTTATTTTTTTGTACCAGGGATCAAACTCAAGACTTTGCACTTTTGAGGCAGGCAGCAGAACCACTGAACTAAATCCCTGGCCCTGCTTCAGCTTTAAATAACTTGAAGCTTTCTGGGGTTTTCTAGTCCTTATTTCCCTGCTTAGGGCTCTACTACAACAGCTAAAGATCTGGAAGGTAGGATTGTCATAAATAGGGAGTAAATCCAGAAGAAATGGCATCCAGAGAGATCAGTGAACCTGTTTCTCCTTGGATCTTTTTAGAATTGAGGACACCATAGGGCCAGCTCCTCGTCCCACCTTAGAACCCTGAGCATCTCACTTGAGACGGGACAAGGCCTGGTGAAATGTGTGTAACTAGTGGCTTCACAGCGTGCTTTTCCTCTGTTAAGGAGACGGTGTTCTCCAGCCCCCTGGTCGTGTGTGGTAATAGGACTGGGTAAGAATCTGGGGCCCCTTGAAGAATAGAATTTTTTGAAGCTGGTCCGAGGTGGGTGTCCCCGATGTGGGGTATGGGCCAAGCTCATTCATGGGATTTTAAAGGTGCATCTTTTCTTACCGTTCAGGTCGATCCTGGAGAAGGAGGGACCAAAGTCGCTGTTTAGAGGCTTGGGTCCAAACTTGGTTGGAGTTGCACCCTCAAGGTAAGTGTGAGCCTGTGGGGCCTTTCTCTCAGCTGGATCTGCCTGTGCATCCCACAGGGAGGCAGTGATTAGCTGAGGGTGTGTTCAGTGTGTTGGAGAAGGAATCTGGCTGCTTTATTGAGCACGAAAATGAATCTGCTGCTATCACCTGTCATCTCTGAGTCAGCGCGTGCTGCCCTAAGCGTACGTGTGGTCAGTGCTGGGTATTGCTTGGGTGTACGTTAGAGCAGCCTCCGGGCACACCCAGACCTGCACTTCCTGTGCGCCCTTGGAAACACTGACCTTAGCATTGTAAAGCCTTCTGTGTTTTTTTGGTTTTGTTTTTCTCTGAGACAGGGTCTCGCTGTATAGTTGAGGCTGGCCTTGAACCCACTGTGTAGCCTGGGCTGGTCTCAAACTCATGGCAATCTTCCTGCCTCAGCCTCCTGAAGTCTTCTAGGTTTTGCTGTCTATGAAACAACATTTTCATTTTTGTTGTTTTTACATCCCTTATTTCTCTTTAAAGCCTATTTAAATATATAGAGCTGTATTTTCGCACTATAGTAGCTACTGACCACTTATACCTGTATTTTTATTTTTTTGGTTTTTTGAGACAGGGTCTCAGTATGTAGTTGAGACTGGCCTGGAACTCACTATGTAGCCCAGGCTGATCTCGAACTCAAAGCAATCCTCCTGCCTCAGCCTCCTGAGTGCTGGGAGTACAGGTGTGCGCCACCACGCCTGGCTGTACCTTGTTTTTTGTGTTTTTTTAAATTTTCAGTTAGTAGGGCCAAGAGATTTAGCTCAGGGTGCCAGGCCTGCCTTGCAAGTGCAAGGTCCTGAGTTCAATTCCCAGTACCACCAAAAAAAAAATTTTTTTTTAATTTTTGTTTTTAGTTAATAAAAATCAAAGAAAACAGGTCCTCAGTCTCACTAACCATATTTTAGTTACTTAATATTCACCTTAATATTCAGCCAGTGGTTCCACATTGGAACAGGCAGTTGCAATAACAGCTTATCCCATCTTTGCAGAAAGTGCTCTTGAACAGGACTAATAGAGAAGGTAACAATATGCGCTCGCGCGTGTGTATGGGTGGGTGGGTGTGTGTGATGATTGATTCAATTTCAGTGCTGGAATTGGGCAACACTTCATTCCATAAATAGAGATTATTGTGGTGGGCTGAGCAGAAGAGGTGGTTTTTGTAGACAGAAGGACTGAAAAGTGTAAGCAGCGATCAGAAAGTACTTCAGACCCTTCAGAGTTACTTTCCTTGTGAAGGAGCAAGCAGGGAGACGGAGCAATAGAAGCAGCCCTGGCTAACCCCAGGTTACCTGTTCTGGAGCTGCATTACAAATTATCCTGCCAACAGAGACTGACTCTTGGGAATCGTTGTTTCTCTAACCCTGATTTCTTTTCGTCATTCTTTTGTTTATTTTTTTGAGACTGAGTCTCCCTGTGTGGTTCAGGCTGACCTTGAACTCAGCCTCCCAACTGCTGAGATTATAGGTGCTCACCACCACTCCTGGCTTAACCCTGATTTCTTAAAAGCTCAGATAACAGATGAGCACAGATGGCTCCATTTTTCTGGTCTTGTCCCTCAGGACCTAGGGCAGGAGCTTGGCCCAAAATAGAGGCCTTCTTCAGGGTGCATAGCAGAACTCCAGCTTCTGCAGCGGGCTGTGAAGTCTGCAGTTGCTCTACTGGCCAGCAGCCCTCGAAAAGAGCCCTTTGCTCTCATAGCAGGGAGGTCGGCGCCCACAGGAGGGTGGACAGGGAAGAGACTAGGGGCGATGGAGCTGACAGAGATGGCCCAGATTACACGTTTTTGGCACAAGGCAGAAAGTGTGATGTGTTTTAGAAATGGACATGTGGGGTTATAGCGGATGTCGGTGCTTAAAGCAGTAGCATTTAGCCAGAGGGAGGACTGAAAGGACCTTGCATGTGTTTTACCCAGATCTCGTTTTCCTCAGTTACGCTGGACACTTCCGTACACGGACTCGTTGGTGCAGGGCTGACCAGCGCTCGCTGACCGTGCCGTGGCGGGTGTGGCTGTGAGCGTGGGGAGGCCAAGCTCCGGCTCTGCGCCCGCTTTCCCACGTAACCCCGCGTTACTTTGCTAACTCTCGCAGAGGTCGCAGAGGGTGGATGGACCTCAACGCTGCCACGACGAGTTCTTCACCCCGTCTCTCTTTGTTCTAACAGGGCTGTGTACTTTGCCTGTTACTCCAAAGCCAAAGAGCAATTTAATGGCGTTTTCGTGCCTAACAGCAATATTGTGCATATTTTCTCTGCTGGTTCTGCAGGTACGTTTCCTTAGTGACCAAAAGGCTGTTGCTCCTCAAAGCACAGCTTTGTTCTTTCTGCCAGGAATTAGACTTTACCTCCTGCTTGTTTTGCACGTACAATCGTTTTTTAAAAGCTTTGTTAGAATTGATGCAGTGGAACAATCTGTAACTTGGTGTCGTTTTCTCACTCTCCCTACCACTTTACATATCCTGCACTGCCACCGGCCACTGTTACGCTTCTTGTATTTCTTATAAAGGAATATTAGCATTGTTCGTGTCTTCTGCCTTCTCCGCTAAGTTACTTCTAAAATGGAGCTGCTTTCTTTGTACTTTCCACCCACCCCATGTCAGGGGGCACAGCAGGGGATCCGGGTGCTTCCCACCCAGCTGGAGGCCAGGCCTCCCCCAGGAAGGTGGACTTGTAGATAACCAAGAAGCAGCAGCCTCTGTCTCTGTACAGAGGTTTATATCCATTTAGTCAAAAAGTGTCGTAGAGACTTTACATGGGCATTTTAGAAAAGTTCCCACGTCTGCCTACACAGTTTCGTCTGCCTTTGTTATTCTCAAGATTATCAGCAATCCAGCTATATTTGTGGTTTGATATCTAGACCTTGAATATTGAATAGAAAATCACATTAAGCAGAGCTGTTTCACACGAGAAAGAAACTTCACTTAATACTTTAGCTCGGAGAAGGACATGTTGCAGTCCAAAACAGGTCTGTATCACTAAAGCCATTAACCAGTTTTGTAACTTTTACAAAATGAACTTGGGAGAAGCATTGGTAAGGAAGCTTTGGAAGCCAGTGTCTCCTGGTGTCTCATTAACCTGCTCACTGGGACTCTAGAGGGCGAAGGGCCTTAGAGGAGTCCTGGCAAGCAGCGTGGAGGTGCAGAAGGCATCAGAAAGTGGCTTCTGTATTCACAGAGCAGTCTTAAAACTTCAGATTCCTGAAATACAGGTTCAGAATTTTAAGTTTCTAAGTCTGAATTCAGGTGAATGGACATTTAATTTCTTTATTTCAGGTTAGATGTATGGTAACCTTTGGATTAAATCAGTAAATTTTAAAAACAAATCATTTCTGGATCTGAAACGTAAGTTGGGTTTTTTTAGACAATTCTTCCTTGGGATTGACAGAGACACCAACAGCACCACCTAGAGGCCAGAAAGTGAGGCCCCGGAGGTTGAGCAGTTTCTCTGGGATCCACCAATAGCAGTAGGTGTTACATCTCCAGTAGCTTCCATCTGCTGTGTAGACACAGAACTGCTTCCTGCCATTCATCTCCACTAAGCCACTGAACTCCTGGCTTCCGAGTTCATTTTGTGGTGTAGACAGCTTTAATATGCACCAGCCGTTGTTCACTGATGTCTTTTTCTGGTGTTTTTCTCTTCCAGCTTTTGTCACAAATTCCTTAATGAATCCTATATGGATGGTCAAGACCCGGATGCAGCTAGAACAGAAGTAAGTTATCAGTTGCTCTTTCCTTGGGAATTTTATTCTTCCCCCAGTTGTAGCCATGGAGTGAGGGTGGCATAGGAGTCCTTAGCCATTCCCTCTTTTTTCTTAGTCTGAGCATACAGTACGCAGAAGTTCCTTGTGTCTTTTTTTCTTTTTGCTGTTTTTTTTTTGTTTGTTTTTTTGTTTTTGTTTTTTTTAATTTTTGAAACAGGGCCTCACTATGTAGTTGAGACTGACCTGGAACTCACTATGTAGCCCAGGCTGATCTCGAACTTGGAGCGATCCTCCTGCATCAGCCTCCCGAGTACTGGGATTACAGGTGGGCTCTGTGCCACTGAACTGCAAACTACCCCCCTCCGCCCAAACTTGAGACAGGGTCTCACTATGTAGCCCAGGCTGGCCTTGAATCTACAGTGATCCTCCTGCCTCAGCCTCCCAAGTGCTGGGGTTAGAGGCATGCGCCACCACACCCTGCAGTTCCCCGTGTTTCAAGGTTTATGCTATTAACATTGTGGAGAGTGGAGGCCATACAAGTGACAGACAGGAAGATGGCAGGCCTCTCTGAAGTCCTGACCTCTTTCTCAGATGGCTCTTGGAAGAGCCCCCCAAGCTGGGGTGCTGGGGACCATCCTGCGAGGCCTGGCTTCCTGGGCTAGATGGCCTGTAAGAGCAGAACAGCACCCACCTGCAGGCCTGGAGTGATTTGAATACAGTCCTCAGATGCACTAGACGTCTGCCCTGAAACACTAGCCAGAGAAGTTTGTAACTTTTTTTGTGCTGTAGATTCTTTGGCTGTTCTGGTAAAGCCTATATACTTTTTAAAAAAATTTTTTAAAGCAGTGGAAACCAGTTATTGAAAAATAGTCATAAATGTAAAAAAAAACTGAGATATGGTTATGCAATACAGTAATCCTTTAGTACATTAAATAACAATATCTAATGGCAGTCAGCAGTTCCTGTAACTTCAGAGTGGTCACACTAAACAGTACCTTGTATATTTGTGACTGAAGTCGTATGATTGGGAAATAGTTTTCCTTGTGCAAAACCACAGGTACTAGGAGTACTGCCATGGCCCTTCACCTACATTCATAATTGAAGGCATGCCGGTTTCCAAGAGAGATTAGGGTTCAGTTTGGAGTCTTAAGAACCTCTGCACCACTGTTGTCTAGAAGTGTACACCCTGCAAACTCCAGCAAGTCCAGTCTGCCTTGCGGATCCCTCAGAGAAAGGGGGTGACAGGGAGCAGGAAGGCTCTGGAGGACAGGGAGGGCCCTGCCTGGGCTCCACGGTTCCCAGTCCACACTGAGGTGCCTCCTGCATGCCCATCTGGACAGAGCCAAGAAGCCCTTCCATGAGTGTCAGCCCTTGGCAGCTCCTGAAAGCTGTGCCGCATGTCCCCGTCTCCCTGAGCATGCTGTTCTTACCGGATTCCCCCCTGCCTGATTGTGCCAGGGCAACACCTGTGAGCCTCAGCTCCTGCCCCAGCAGCCCTGGGTGTCACGTTGCTGTGTGCAGGCACCCTGATGTCATGTCTGTGGAGCAGCAGACGAGCGCCCCTTCAGTGGAGAGCCTTTCTGTGCACCCTCCTCTGCTTAGCTGCCAGCCCAGTGTGCTCTGTTCATGTCTGTCGTTACAGGCAACAGGACATGGCTCCGACCTCCTAGCTCACAGCCTCACAACAAAGAAAGACTTGCAGCCTAGTGTAGGACCAGGGGCACCAAGTGTCCAGGCAGGCTGAGGAGAGAGGGAGAGAAGGAGAGAGGCAGCAGCCCCACCCAACCTTGAGAGACTTGAGGCCTGGAAGTGGCTCAGTCCAAGGACACAATTTCCACAGTCCAGTGTAAAGCACTGAATTGGCTTTACTTTGCAATTTAGAATCGGCAGCATTGAATTCCATCTTCGTTTATTTTTTTCAGTACTGGAAATCTAACTCAGGACTTTGGCTTGCCAGGCAGGCATGGCACCTCTGAGCTAAATCCCCAGCCCCATGGATTCCATAAAATGGTATTGCAGTGAATCAGGCACAGGAGGCTGGTTCTAGAGAAGGGCTGTGTATAAAAGCAACAGCACAAAGCAGATCGGCTCTTTCAGAGTTACCTTCACTGATGAGGTATAGACAAGGAGACACAGCTATAGAAAAGTAACTGGTCAGTGTCACCTTACTCTAGGTTACCTGTATTGTGACACAAGGTTTTTTTGTTTTGTTTTGTTTTGAGACAGGATCTCACTATGTAGTTGAGACTGCTCTGGAACTCACTGTGTAGCCCAGGCTGGTCTCGAACTCATAGCAATCCTCCTGCCTCAGCCTCCCAAGTGCTGGGATTACAGATTACAGGTGTGCACCACCACATATGTAGCCTAGGCTGGTCTCGAACTCACAGCAATCCTCGCCTCAGCCTCCCAAGTGCTGGGATTACAGGCATGTGCCACCACACCCAGCTGGTTACCTGTATTGTGAAAGGGTTAACGACAGAAAGAACTAAGTTTAGAAATAGTAAAATGAGAATTCAGCATTTATACATAATTGTTTTTTGAGATAGGGTCTCACTGGGCTTTAACTCACTACATAGCCCAGGCTGGCTGTTCTGGAACTGGTGGTGATCCTCCTGCCTCAGCCTCGCAAGTGCTGAGACTACAGGCACGGGCCATCACACCTGGCTGAGAATTTAGCATTTATGCACAAGATTCTGGGTACACACACACATACACACACACACACCACAGTTTTCAGAATAGTGATAATGAAGATCACCTTTAAAAAAAAAAAAAAGAACCTTATACTCCCATTGTTTTCTTAAGTACACCTGTGTCATAATTTTACTTTACATATAACTTTGTCCTGCTTTCCACTGGAAGCAGTATTACACATTTTACACTGTGGTGGCCATTTTAACCCCGTGCACTGTATAAAGTTTCCGTTTCAGCCTGCACAGGGCTGTGGCTGTGCGGCCCGACTGCAGTGAGGGCTTCTGTGGCGAGCACCAACCTCCATCCGCTCCCTGGGAGCCAGGCCAGAGGCACAGATGTGCTACCGGCACTGCTGACACAAGGCCCTGTGGGCTGTGTGGGGTCCTGGCCTAGTAAGCCAGTCTCGCGTGGGCCAGGCCAGGGGACAATTTGTCCCCCGAGTCCCTTCTCTGGGCTCGGCCATCACCTGAGGCTCTCAGCAGTCTGTGGCTGTTTCCTTCCTGCAGAGTGCGGGGCTCCAAGCAGATGAACACACTGCAGTGTGCGCGGTATGTGTACCAGACTGAGGGCCTCCGTGGCTTCTACAGAGGGCTGACTGCCTCCTACGCCGGCATCTCAGAAACCATCATCTGTTTTGCCATCTATGAGAGCTTAAAGAAGTACCTGAAAGAAGCTCCGTTAGCTTCTCCTGCAAAAGGAACTGAGAAAAATTCCACCAATTTTTTTGGACTCATGGCAGCTGCTGCTATTTCTAAGGGATGTGCTTCCTGCATTGCTTATCCGCACGGTATGTTTGGGTTTTTCTTCAGAGCAGTAGAACAGCTGGCAGGTTTGTCACCTCTCACTGCCTGGAGACCTCCACAGCAGAGTGAAAACAGATTCCAAGTCGAGTATCCCTCTTCCAAGCGTTTGACCCCTAAGTGGTTTGGGTTCAGGCTATGTATGTCTTTAGCAGCTGAGCACCCCTAATCCCGGCACTGTTGCTGCATGAGCTGTGGGTTGGTCACTGACTGGGGTGCTCGCCCCGTTCCCACAAGTGAGGTGACATGTGCACGTGACGCCGGCGTTAACCTGGGGACACAGGCTGTGTGCGTGCATGGCGGGAACCGCGCCTCCCTCAGCTCCAGCTGACAGACAGAACTTGCCATGCAGAAATTTGGGGCCAACTTACGATGTTTTCAAAGAAGCCCCCAAAACTCCTGATTTAAAAGGATTTCACATAGAAGCTGTATTAGCTTTTCTCAACTGTGACAAAACACCTGAAAAAATGGAGGAAAGATTTATTCTTAGGGCTCAGGGTTACACCTCATAGCCAGCTGGCTCCATTGTTCTTAGGCCCGAGGTGGGACAGAAACATGGTGGGTGGGCTTGGCAGAGGGGAAGGGCAGGGACCAGAAAGCACTTCAGGACCCGCCCCACCGAGGGACTGCCTTCCTCCCATCAGGCCCCACTGCCTCCCAGTGCCACCAAGTTCCAAATCTGTCAGGGGATCTGTGAGAGGTCAGGAGTCCTAACGTTTCAGTCCCCTCTAAAGTCCTCTCCTTGAACTCTGCTTGGGGACCAAAGGCTTCACCACCCGCACCTTGAGGGACATTGCAGACCCATAGCAGGCGCCAGACTAGAAATTCCTCAGCTCCATGGTGAGGGAGCTCAGCAGGTCTCCTTCAGGTGAGTTTACTTCTCAGCAGTTTTACCATCCCTGTTTTGGTGTTAGAAGAGAACCCAGGGTCTTGCACTTGCTGAACACAAGATCACTGAGCCACTTTGTTCTTGTTCTGGGGCAGGAGGGGTTGTTGTTGGTGTTTTGTTTTTTGAGTCAGGGTCTCACTATCTAGTTCAATCCTGCCTCAGCCTCCCGAGTGCTGGGATTACAGGTGTATACTACTACCACACCCAGCCCAAGTTTTCTTTTTGCTTTGCTTTGCTTTTCCTTTTTTTTTGGTACTAGTGATTGCTTGCAAGGCAGGCAGCAGAACCACTGAGCTAAATCCCCTGTTTTTTAAAGAACTGTAGAATTACCTTGCCAATGACCTATTTGGAAAAAAGAAAGAAACTTGGTTTATTGTGCCATAAAAAGCTTTCTTCTAAAAAGCTTCCTGTACTCCTGGCAATGGCAAACACACGTGTCACCTCAGTCCCAGGCAATGAGTCCCACCATGTGCTGGGGCCCCACCAAGCACACCTGAGGTCCCTGGTCCCTGGTCCCAGGTCCACATGACAGGCAGGGGTGTCCAGCCACCGACAGGCTGTGCTCCCGAAAGTGGGTGGCAGGACAGAGGGCAGCCTGAGAAGGAGCTGGCTCTTCATCTGGCCAAAGGAAAATGGGGAGGTCAGGGGGTCCCTCGTCCTGGCCAGTGACAGGCAGAGCTAAACTTGACTTCTTCCTGCATCATGTCGGTGGCATACAGCCTGTGCTTCTGTCCTGCAGAGGTCATAAGGACACGGCTCCGGGAGGAGGGCACCAAGTACAAGTCCTTCGTGCAGACAGCGCGCCTGGTGTTCCGCGAGGAGGGCTACCTCGCCTTCTACAGGGGGCTCTTCGCCCAGCTTGTGCGGCAGATCCCGAACACGGCCATCGTGCTGTCCACCTACGAGCTCATCGTGTACCTGCTGGAGGACCGCAGGCAGTGACAGTCACACACTTGTTGTGCTTAGAATAAAACTGAGAACCTCCAAGGTCTCTGTTCCATTGCTGTGTAGCGTGTCCCAGACAGACACAGGAGAGGCCATAGCATGTCACCGTGGTGGACATTTCCTTTTGTTTGTTTTTGGTACTGGGGATTGAACTTGGGACCTTGTGTGTGCGAGGCAGGCGGTGGCACTGAGCTACATCCCTGGCCCAACATTTCCTTTTGGATTCGTGCTTTCTGGAAGGTTTGAATTCATTAACGTTAATAGTTAATTATAATTTTTTTTAACTTGAGGATTCTGGATTAAGCAGCAACTAAATTAAATCATGCTATTTAATTTAAGTATAAAATTGGTTTGTGTCCTCTTTTACGCTCATTTCACTGTACCCTGTAGCTGAGGAATTGTCTCCTTGAAACACACCCTAGAAACAGAGAAGGATGAAGTCGGAGCACATGTTGTTTTCTGATCTGCCTGTAAGGTCAGGCGCTGGCAGACTGTACAGAAGTACAGCAGCACATTCTGTCGGTGCTGTGGGCAAACTTCCCAGCCGTTACCCTTCTATACCGTTTGCAGTTTGTACAGATAGAGGAGCTCTCAGGGCAGAGATGGAGGAAATAAGCATCTCTGTGACGTGAAGGCTTTGCACTGTGACATTTCCTGCAGGTAGGACTCAAGGCAGGGGTCTCAGCTATTCTATTGCCGCCTGGCCCCAGGGCCATTTCCAGCAGTGGGGCCTCACCAAGCTCAGCACCCCGAAGCCACAGCACAGCTCAACTTGGATGTCGAGGTTTTCTGGCCTGGTTTCGGGCTTCAGAGAGGTGGAGCCCACACAGGAGTGACAAGGCCACTCTCATTCTGACTGCAGGCAGGGGTGGTGTTGAAAAAAGTTTTAGAATTTTAACTTTTTTTTTGGTAGCAGGGATTGAACTTGGGACTTGGCGCTTGTGAGACAGGTGTGGTGCCACTGAGCTAAATCCCTGGCCCCTACACCCTCATTTTAAAAGGGAAATGAAATACGGGAACAAAAAGTGTAATAAACAGAAGGCAGCCAGCATTGTGGTGCACAACTATAACCCCAGCTACTGGACTTGGCCAGCTGAGGTGGGAGAGTTGCAAGCTGGAGGCCAGTCTGGGATACACTGACTGCAGGACCAAGTCAGGGTAAACTAACAGGGCTGGGGGTGGAGCTTGGTGTTCCCTGGGCACAGTCCCAGGACTACACGATGAAGGGGCTAGGGATGATGGGGCTCAATGGTCGATCTCTTGCCCGATATGTGGGAGGCCCTGTATTCAATCATCAGCTGTCTACCCACAGTGAGTGTATTGTAGCTGAAGGTTACTTCTCAACTTGAAGGGTGAGAATGATGCTCAGTTCCAATAGTGACCCACTGGGTTTCAGGTTGAAGACACTTTCACATCATTTAAAGTGAAGTTTTGGGCTGGGGATTTAGCTCAGTGGTCCCACTGCCTGCCTTGCAAGCGCAGGGACTCGAGTTCGATCCCTGGTACCAAGAAAAAAAAAATCTAAAGTGAAGTTGTGTTCACCTTTATAGCCATAGCGAAGTCAGTGCTGTTTAATTTGTCTCAACAACTGTGCAGAAGTCAAAATGAGCAAGTGTGGTCAAGCTTCTTGCTACTTGGTTGCTAAAATGTGTGACAGTAAGGTGGTTTTTATTCCAGAAGCTCCTGGTAGCCTCCAATTTTAATATTCATAGGAAAACCTGAGCTTTTCCTCAAGATTTTATCTGTGATGGTTAAAAATCAGATTGCTTAATTTCTACTTGCACATTCAACCCCCATTTTTGGTTTTCTGAGATAGGATCTTGTTTTTGTTTGGGTTTTTGTTTGTTTGTTTGCTTTTTGCTACTAGGGATTGAACTCAGGACCTTGAGCTTGTGAGGCAGGTGGCAGCACCACTCCCCAGCCCTGAGATAGGATCTTGCTATGTAGTTCAGGCTGACCTTGAACTCAGTGTAGCCTGGGCTCACAGTGATCCTCCTGTTTCAGCCTCTCAAATGCTTATAGACAGGCATCACCATAATGGTGGCTGATTTTTTTCCCCCCAATGCCAGGGATTGAACTCAGGACCTTGAGCTTGCCTGGCAGGCACAGTGCCACTGAGCTACATCCCTGGCCCCTGGCTGGTACATTGTTAAATGTATAAACTTGATACTGGGCTAGGATAATTTAGTTCTGTGTGTCTCCTGCACCAGGGCACTGAAATGAAAGAAATGGGCACCCAGGCAGGAAGGGGAGCAGGCAGAAAAGGGAGGCTTCCTCCAGAGAGGACTGCTGGGCTTAAAATGGGAGGCCTCATTGTGGGAGTTTCCAGTGCAGAAATCTTCGGACTTCCTCTTCTCTCCTCCACAAGCCAAGTCACTGGGATTCACTATTCTTTTTTTTTTTTTTTTTTTTTTTTTTTTTTTTTTC